GAACCTTATATACCAAAGTAAGGTCAAAGGTCCCCTGTGGAGGCGATTCGACTTGAAAGCTGGTCCATTCCACCTCACAGAGAGTTCGAAGGACTGGCTTCTTAACGTGGAGGCCAAAAACTGAGACAGCTCTCCTATAGTCCTAGAAATGAGTTAGTATGAGACTCTGATTTTGACCAATGACAAAGGCAAAACTGACAGGGACGCACAGTCAACAGGAAGAGGACAAGACACGAAGACAACACAGTTTGAGATCTCAAGGCCAGTAGGCCGTGGCAGTCACCTGAAAAATAGGATCTTTCTTGACAAAAACCAAATCAAATGGGGTCCATTGGTGTCCCGGTAGCATCCCTGACTCCGGGTCTATAGGCGCATCCGACAGACCCTCCTGAGTCATTCAAATGGTGCGCCCCAAGAATCCCTTACCTCTCCCAATCCCAAGCTTCCTCCCAGGGGTTGGTGGAGCAATCTGAGGAAGAGCCCTGTTTCAGACCTTTAACTTTCCCGGCCAATGCACCAAATGTTGCATCCATATGACTCCTGAAACAGAATGCTAGGGGCACCAGTGACAGTCACAACAAAGTCTATTACAATGAGAGGCAAGGCCGACCTATCGGGACCAACACTCTTGATAAGAATGCGGCCTCGAACAACCGGGGTACAGAGTTTTTAAAGCTGATCACATCGTTTTATCATTACCTGGGGACAGACCAGAGAAACAGTTCCCAGATGAGTTAGAAAGAGTTACCAGATGTGTTAGAAACAATTGCCAAATGAGGTGATTATTTTAGACTTTCTGCCACTAAGTTGCAACCAGTGGATCTCCTTGACCTTGCCTCTGATGCTTTCTTTGAGCTTTTGTTTTCCTTCATTGGTAAAGCCTGATTTACAAGAGTATGAAATGTGATTTGCAAGAGTAAAGCAAGGCTGTTATCCCTTCACCTTCGGTGTCAGAACAAAACTGTTATTTTTCAAGCTTCCTGTTAGCCCTACACAATTTAACCCTTACAATATGAATTACCTAAGGTCACATAGCTAATAACCAGTAGAGCAGTGACTCAAACATCTTTGCTACCTGTGACCTTTCCATCATGTTTAAGGATTACTTTCAACAACTGTTATTAAAATCTTCATTTACCAGAGTTCTTTACTAGAAAAAATGAAAATGATCACTGAAGATGAAAACTATTCCAAATATTAAGCCAAGAGATTTATTATAACATGATCTAAACTGGCATCAAATTCCAGAAGATTTCGTCATTAAAAATGCTATAGAAACTCAGTAAAAACCCATTTCTTAACACTACATCTCTGTGATGTGGACATGGAAGTCAAAGTCTTAGAAACACACACACATAAAACAGCAGAAGGTAAAATAATATTATAGTAATAATGTCATTCATAATCAACATTCTTCTGGGTCTTCCAAGTACACTAAAAATCAAGGTTTTGAAATTTAAAAACCAATGCTGTGACACTTCTTTGTGGAAGAGAGAAATTAGAAATTTGTTTGAAATAAAGGTATATATTGTTTTCGACTGTTTCCTTCTAAAACCGCATCTCAAAGTCTTTACTCATTTCATGATAATATCAACTCCCTTACTACTAAAAGTAGAAATATTTCAACATGTTACTATCAGGGTAAATTCCTATAAGCTGTCTTTTGAAAATCTTTCATGTTCACAGATAATCTCTTAATTTATATCATCCCACCATTTGTATCATCTTCCACCAGTAAATTTACATTAATATATTTTTAAACTTTATACCTAAAAAAAGTGAATCTGGTCCAAATCATGGGGTGACTCCTAAAACTAGAACCAAATAAGTCTGCCCATTCTTT